CTTTGTGCTACACATCTTCCTAGGTTATTTTTTATGCAGATTGCTACCTTCCAGAGGCTTTGTGTAACCCTTGACTCAGCTTGTCCTCTTTTGTAACTGATATGTGTGCTCCTAGCCCTTGAATTGGTCATTGATTATATTACCATTTTGCCTCTTATTTTTTAGGAAGACTTAAGAATTATACTGACCACTACATCCATAAAAAACCCAAACACTGGTATACCCATATTTGCCTTTTAAAATGGTAATTATGGTCCAATGCCAGGCACTCCCCCTATATATAAAATCTATATTTATTGCTATTTTTTCTTGCGGCCACTTCTCTCTCAACACTGCTCCACTCCTCGACTCCTCCCCTAGTGACAAAAGTCTAACCTTCCAAATGTGCCAATTAAATGTGGCGGTCATGGTGATCGCTTGATAGAATGCTTCTCACAGGTAAGCATTAGATTAACGTTTGTCCAAGGAATCTCTCACTTCTGCTTGAACAATCTCTCAAGACAGCGTATGCTCTTCTTTAAATCACTTGTTTTCGTTATACTTGGGTACCTGCATATTTATAGGTGTTACTCAAAGGTAAAGGGATATTAGCGGCAGATCAAGTCATTTTTTTTGTCCTAAATAAATTGAAATAAACAACAAACGGTACATGTAACATTTTGCAATATTACTAACTATCATTTTCCTTAAAGCATATGACCATATACAAGATAAAGAGCAAAGGATACACTCTTCTGCAAAGGTTCCTCTGTCTGGAAATGAGGATGACTGTTTGCAAGGATAACAAGATTTGTAATTATCAGAGCCCCTGATGAGAGGATATGTGCTGAAGCAGGACCAGCAACATATGCTGATACCTAAACAGACAGTTCGAAAGGAGCAGATGGGCTGATGGGATCCTGTATCCGGCATCCGCCAGACACCAGCCTGTCTGGGCAGAAGTCCAAGGATCCACACTGCCAAAGCCTGTGGGAGAACACAGACCATGCCATAGGCCCAGCAATCCAGAGTCTAGCACAACAAGAAGCATCAATAGCAAATCCCTTTCTCCATAATTACAGTTAATAAATGTAATGTAAACTACCTTGGTTCAAAAAGGCTACGAACTACAATGACAGGGATTTATAATTCCTTCAAATTCAGAATGAATTGGGATGCTTCAATATAAACAGAAAAATGTATGAAGCTTAATGATAACAATAAGGAAATGGCATACTAATGGGACAACATTTTGCTGGTCGGTTTTTAATGACCACACCTGACTAATATGCTGGTTATTAAGTCTGTCTCACACCCTCCCTCTCCTTTTAGTATGATACAGGACACTAAATAATTCATCTTATTATTGATTTAGAGTTGCACAGTTTGGTGTTGCGGCCAAGCTTTCTACATCAAATCAGACTGTCCCAGGGGAACGCAGCCTGTATACTGCCTGTGCCAGTCAGGCTCTGAGCATTTAAGAGGAGGGGCGGCCTTTGTTTGCCATAGTAAGCAGACAAGAGTTGCAGGTTTGAATCAGGGTGAATCTACTTTAGCTGTCCTGAGGTTGTAGACACAGCAAAGTACAAGGGTGATGACCATTAATTGGACAGGCAGTCAGTGCCAGTCAAAGGATGAATACATCAGTGTCCGACTACTTGAATCTACATCTTACATAATTATCAATGCTTGTCACCACTTAAAGGAACACCACAAGCACCATAACCACTAAACCCTGCTATAGACATTATGGTGCCAGAGGTGCCCTGGAGCACCTTTATTGTAAGTATTCAAACCATTTTAACATACCGTAATGAAGTGGTCTGGGTGAGGAGGTGCTGCCATTTTCTCCCACAATGTAAAACAATGACGTTTTAGAGATAAAGCAATGTTTAAATTGTGGGGTTTAGACACCTCTAGAGTGTGCTTTCAGACCCACAACTCAATCAGACTAATTTCTTTGACATTCAGCATCCTCACACATTGCATTGTATTACTCTGATTCTTCCCATAGTGAAGCATTTGATTCAACAGCATTGTGGAGTTGTTGGATTGGATTGTCTTCTTCTGGGAGTGTCTCCTCAGGGTACTACTGAGCGAAATTGAGATAGCTGGTCAAACTGAATATATTAGAGAGTGAATTAATCTTTTTTAGTTTTAATCAGTGCCACTGAAGAGTTTATTCTCTCCATTCTTCAACATAGAGTTAGAAGCACAGAAGGTGTCAGACAGTTTACTGCAATTTTTTTAGGACAGTGAATCTCAGGCAGCATTGGGTTGAGTTGTTGGATTGTGATCATCTGGCAGTGTGCAGTCTTACTACTGAGAAAAACTGAGTTGGCTGGTAAAACTGAATATATTAGAGAAATAATTAATCGTATTTTATTCTACACCACTGAAAAATGTATTCTTTCTATTCTCCAACATGGAGTATTTTTTTGAACAAATGTAACAGGCTTAGAGCATAAGGAGGAATTATGAAGAACTAATTATGAAGAATTAGTTTACAATCTGGAAGAAATAGAGAAGGAGCAGAAGAAGTATATCATGACGACTCCATTTCTTGAAAAGCAATGTAGAAGTAGTACAAGTAGTTTTGTAGAGGAAGCAGTTACATCATCCCCTAGCCATCCTACAACCACCAGTTTCACACTCACTAACAGTACTAGTAGTAGTAGTAGTAGAACAACAAGCACATTAATAAGAAGCAGCTTAACTTCAATGGTGCAGGAGCAGAGCAGCACTAGATTGTTTATTTCACATTGAGCAGAAGCAGGTCAACAGCGCAGGAGAAAAGTGAGTGAGCATTTTGATACTGTGGGAGATGTGCATTTGGCAAAATGCAGGCTGTGTGGCAAGGAGATTAGCAGGGGAAAAGTTTGGGGACAAGCTCAGGGCTGACCAATCATCTCTGCACACATAACAAGACTGTTCAGTTGTGAGAAGAAAGGGAAGTTTCAGCAGCAGAACCAGAACTATCTGGTATTACCAGAAATGAGGAGGTATCTCAAGTTAGTTAAAAGAAACACGGGGTGCAAAAAAGACAATGCTATCAGCCAGCCATTGAAGAGTTTGGTGCTGTACATATCAGGGGCACATCAAAGAAGGTGTCAAATACTTTGGCAAGATTTATAGGCTATCTTATTGTTGTTGAAACAATCGATATAGACTCTAACTCACAATTAACACTTGCCTTCCCAAACAACATTTAGCGGGAAAGTAGTACCCTTTGTGTACCTCTCGTAGGTATCCGTTTTAAAGAAGGAGCTCAGTTAGACAAGCAGAGACAGTGTGCACTTGAATGTCTCTGCTTGTCTAACTGCTTGTCAGTCTCAGCCAATCCTATGGAGAAGCACTGTTATTGGATCAGACTACCACTTCTGATGATGTCAGTAGACTGCTTGTTTTTCTGAGGCAAACAGCATGCAGAGTTACAGCTTCAGGCTTGAATACAGTAAGATTTTGCTATATTTATGGAAGCATGAGGGGCCCAGGGGGGCTAGATGGTGGTTCTAACACTATAGGGTCAGGAATACATGTTTGTGTTCCTGAACCTATAGTGATCCTTTAACCCCTTAAGGACACATGTTGGAAATATTCCATCATGATTCCCTTTTATTCCTGAAGTTGTGTCCTTAAGGGGTTAAACAGAGACACTCAATGCAAACTGGTTCACAGAAAGAGAATCTCTTTGGGACAAAATGTAATCATTGACTACTTGGTTGATGAATGTGTCCCCTTTCCTTTGGCCTTCGACTCCATTATATGATTCAATTGTTTTAAGGGAAACTTTTTTTAAAATACAAGGATTTCCCAGGATTTTTAATATCACTTCCCAGGATTTTTAATATCATGTTGACTTATCCCCTTTGCTTAACAAATATGTGTTTTAAGGGTCTGAAAACAAGATGAAATGTAGAAGTCCACACCATCTTTGAAATGAGTGCCTCCATTTATTCTCCCTGTTATTCGTTATTATAGTATTATTATTTTTGCACTTGCCAATTACAGAGAGAGGGAGTACAAAGAGAGAAATAAACAAATAATATTTTTAACCATCCAATATAAGGAACTGGACTACTAATAATACCAAATGATTAGAAGTTATGAAATCTGACAATATGTGTTTAACTACACTGCATAAAAATTATCTATTTAGCAAACATTTTTTGCTTTCTCTTATTTTAACTTTGAATGAAGAATGGTTTAATAATGTAACACAATTACCAACTAGCAGCCTAAGATTTCAAGTTTAACACTTTACGACCTCTAGACTGTAAGCTCGATTCAGCGGGGACCTCAACTTATTGTTCCTGTAACATTTTGTAATTGTCTCATTTATTGTTTTTTTTTAAATTCTTTATTTATGTAGTGCAGTTGGTTACAGAGAATTAACAGACGCCACAACAGCGTTATGTAAGAGTTAGATAGTGGCATTACAGTTTGCACATTTTTATATATATTTGTATCAAGCTTGACCATACAGTTAGAACGTTAGAGTAAAAATGAATGTAAATAGAACGATTAATGCTTAACTACGCTATTTTCACCATACCTGTATAGTCGTGATGTCACAAGCTAATCATGCTGCTTAAAACTAGGGACATGTACGTTTTTGTTTTTTTCAAGAATCAAGAGTACATTAGTGCCTGCACATTTTATGGTTATTCTGCATTCGTAGTGGTTTAGTCGCAAGATATTATAAGTACAAAGTATAACAGACAGGCATTCAGTGACTTATCCCATTGGTGTATACCAGAATATACATGAATAGGCATAGTGAGGTTGAGAGATGTCAAAAATACTGCACTTTTCTATAGTAACATAGACCTCTGTATCAGCTATAAACAAATATATAGTCGTAAACTCAAACATGGGGACAGTGCTAGTAAGGAGTAGGCTAGTACATAGTATTGTTAGCTAGGAAAACCACCAACGGCTATTTAGCTTAGCTCGCTGAGTGTAAGAACATGGTAAAGTGGGCAAGAGGGCTGTAGTGAGCAGTGGGACATTTGGTACCTTCACCCTATACCCATGGCATCTAGGTAGGTATCAGGCCCGCACAAACGGTAATAAGAGTCCTCTGGGATTCTGCATCCCGCTGCAGTACACCCAGTCTCATGGTCGTAGGCTACTCTTCCCGTCATAAGGCAAAGTCCTTGGGTCTGCCGGGGGCCACGGACTCCGCTGGTATGCAGCCCACGTGCTGCTCGCTGCCGCCGCACGGGTCTCTGACCTGCTGAGAGTTTCCATGGTGGATCTTGGGTGTGCCGCCCTTGCGATGCTCTCTGCCGCTGCCTGGGTCTCTGACCTGCTGAGGATTTTAGCGCAGGATCTCGGATTTGCAGCCCTTGTGCCGCCCGCTGTTGCTGTTTTGGTCTCAGACTAGTTGGAGGTTTCCGGGCAGGAACTCTGCAATCAGGTTGAGTTACCTGGACTATCGCTGCAGATGATTTCCTCCGTTCCCTCAGATTCCGCCAGAACCTCCGGCATATGGCATTGAATGCCCGTGTGAAGCTCTCTTCCCAGCTCTGTGCCGGTTCTTGTGTTTCGTGCTTCGCGTCAGCGCTGCTGTCAGCCATCTTAGGTTGGCCACGTGGGGGCTTTTTCTGCAAGATTCGCTCAGGAGCCACAGGTAAGTGATTGAATACCGCTTGGTGGGGACCAGGATAACCCCCGCTGGCCCAGAGGGGGGGAGTACAGGGCTCTATAGATCCACAAAGAAGAGTGCCTGGGCCACCCCGGTCAGAGAGATCGGCCGCTTCTCCCGCCGAGGTAACACCAGGCCGCACGTAGATGGCCGCCACTGCTTGGCTTTGAAAGTGTGGAGGTCTGGATCTCACTCCAGTGTTGCCTGTATGGTGCTAAGCAAGTTTGCCAGTGTGAGTTAGTCCTGTAATAGGGCGTTTGTCACCCTTCAAGTCGATTTTAAGCCAAGATTAGGCAGGAGCCCATGCTTTCTGCATCCATCCAGAATGGCGTCCAAGCCCCGCCCCCCGTCTCATTTATTGTTAAATTTCCTCCTTTACATTATTGTAAAACGTTGCGGAATAAGTTGGCGCTACATAAATGCCGAACTTAATAAATAAATATGAAATCATTTCTATACTACACACAAAAAAACTTCTACTATAAATGTTTGGTTTAGAGAAGAGAAGCAAAAATAGGACTGTCACTAAGGACTACAATCATAATCTTTAGTTAAATACATTCCATAATAGGCTGACATGCTCAGACTTTATTCTTCTAAAATGTGCTAAATTCATGGAATAATCTTCCTGGGGAACTTCGAATAGAAACTGGCAAGGCTACTGAAAGGTCAAGCAGTGTAATTTTTCCTTTCAATGACAACTCAATCAGTAAAAATGACAACATACAGATTATTGAATGGCATAGTACGTGTATATAAAATAAGAGCTTTTGCATGTAGGTTTGTGTTTTTAATTTTATTTTATTCATACATAAATATATTAAATTAATTCTTATGCTACCAATAAAAATATGACTATTCTTTCTGACTTGTTTTGTTTAGTATAGCAACACAGTATACATGTACAGGACAATCATCCCAGTATTTGTCTCTTTATCCTAGTGTCTACGCAGTGAATACTCTAAAGTTTTTTTAAAATTAATACAGACAGTAGAAGGTATATCAGACACTGAAGAGTGCATGAAGTCTTACAGATGTGGAGCAATAACCCATCATTAGTAAATTCTAAAAAAAAAATTAAAAAAAAATTAGCTAAACATACACTACTCTGCCTTTGTAAGTAATTATTTCCGCTTGCTCTGTCAACAGTTTAAAATAGTTCCAGGGGGCGTGGCCGACTGCCGGACAAGATGGACGCATAATCCTCAGCTCCGGCAAACGGGCTGACAATCCGTTGCAATCCTACCACACAGAACGCATTACGAACCCTATCACAGAAGATGTCGCAACATAAAAACAAGAAGAGCTCAGCAAAAACTGAAAAATTGAGTTTCTTTCAACAGAAACCTAACTTAACTCCTTCGGGCCTACTACCGTCTGCCCAAGATGGCGACGAGGGTACTGACGAAGAAAGTACCCCACAGAGCATGTCTGCACCAGGAGATGCCCTGACAAAAAGCCACCTAACTCAAGCACTGGAAGCCTTGTCTCGAAAGCTGATCGGGTCCTGGCAGCACTCCATGGACTCACTGCGTAAAGATGTCCAAGAAATAGGCAAGAGGACGTCGCACATAGAATCACAATTAGACGAAATGGCGGCAGCCCACAACAATCTCGCTACACATGTGGAGAGGCTGGAAGACAAACTACTACTCACCGAAACGAAACTGGCGGACATGGAGGACAGGTCTCGGCGAAACAACCTGCGGCTGCGGGGAGTACCCGAAACAGTGCTCCCGGCGGAACTACAAGCTTATGTGCGAGGCCTGCTAAGCGCTTACGCTCCCGAGATTCCGTCTGACATGCTGCTGCTTGACAGAGTTCATAGGGTGCCGCGCCCACGCCACCTGTCGGATTCCTCACCCAGGGATGTCCTGTTACGTGCCCATTATTATCACATTAAAGAGCATGTCCTCAGAGCTAGCAGAAGTAAACCCAAGCCTCCGGATGATTACGCCACGGTACAAATCTTCCCAGACATCTCAGCGATCACCCTGCGAAGACGGAAGGATTTCGCTCCCATTACTGCAGCTCTCCGCGCCAATGGAGTGAGATACAGGTGGGGATATCCCACGAAGCTTTTGGTGACCAGAAATGGCTCTCTCCAGGTCATCCTGACCCCTGAAGATGGCGCCAACCAGCTGAAGTCGTGGGGTATCAACCCACAACTAGAATCCGAGAAAGCTCCGTCAGCGAACAGATTGCGCATAGAGTGGCAGAGAGTGCCGGACAAACATTAATCCACGCTATCAGCTGCATGAGGGACACGCAAGTATTGTGCACTACACACTTTTTCCCACAGGCATACTGACATTGGAAGGGCCCAGCGGGACTCTCATTGCACGCTTTTTGGCATCTCAGAAGAGCTTCAGCTTCTTACCCACGGGGGGACACATCATTGTCTGAACTGATCTTGGGCATATGCAGGGAAATGGGCCTCCCCTGAAGGAGCCTATGAGCTACTGTGAACCCTCATGTTGACACATGGACAGTGATGGCTGGGAGGTCGGGGAGGTGCGGGGGTGTGGGGGATCCGGTGGGACATGTGTTTTCAATGATTTGATGGGATAGTGGCTGAGTCCGGTGGGTGGGCGGCGGGGGCCCGGGCGCTTTCCCCTGGTCGTTCCCCTCCGAGGGGGGGGGGGGACCGGGGGGACGCGCGGGGTGCCTCGTGGCCCATACCGCTGGCCACTTTATATGTCTCGTTGTGTGTCCTGTACCCTCTCGATACATGTGCAAAGCCCCTTTTGCCATCCTTGACATCACTGAAGGGTTGCGGGAGACACTGTTGAAGAACCCTTGTGACTATACAAATTACTAGTCGGCCCTAGGGATAAGGAGACAGGTGGACCCCTGAGATAGGGTTTAAGAATGGAAATGGGGCAGAGAGGCCTAAGATGTAGCACGAATGTAGATGTGCCCTTCCAAATGCCCACAAGAGCCCCAGTGGCTCGCCCTACCCCACATAAACTTGTGAAGGGGTAACATAGCGATGCACGGTTCAGCAACCACTCATGCAGCAACCACACCCAAGCTTCCCTTCAACCCTAACATATAACTAAAAAAAAAAAAAAAAAAAAAACAGTTCTGTCCAAACCCAGAGGCTACTAAGCCAACACGCCACACCACAGGAGACAAATGTTTCCGTACCCCACGGTGCGCGCCCACCGCACCATTTCCCGACTACAGGGAACTTGTATATATTCCTTTCCCTCCCACCTCTTCCCTATCACATCCAAGTTGTCCCTTCCTGATTCAAGGTATGTTAATCTCTCCGCAAATAGATCTACAAGAGTACTCCAAATAAACAAACAAATATTACAACCTGAGAATACACACTATTAACGCGTGCGGCTTGAACACCCCGCACAAACGGCGTGTCTTGTTAGACATGGCCAGGAAAGACAAGATAGACGTCCTCTGTGTACAAGAAACGCACTTCACACATTCCAAAGTCCCTAAATTTGCACAACAAGACTATTCCACGCAATACCACTCCACACACTCCTCCAAGTCCAGAGGCGCATCCATCCTTGTCCACAAATCACTTTCGTTCGAACTACTCCAAGTTAAAAAAGATTCCCAAGGCAGATACGTCATTATTCACTGCACGATAAACGACATTAACTACACAATTGCCTCAGTGTACAGTCCGAACACAAACCAAAGAAATTTCTTACACAAAGTCCTTTCCAAAATACCTAGCCCACAATTGCAAAATTTGATTTTGTGTGGAGACTTGAACCATATATTTGATCAAACTTTAGACACGACAGTCGCTGGTGACACCAGGAGGCAGGCCGCCCTCAAACCCCAATGCAAAGCTATGACAAAGTTGCTGCTAGAATACAATATCTATGACTCCTGGCGCACAATACACCCAAATGTTCGTGAATACACACACCACTCAAGAGCCCATAAAACCAGCTCACGCATTGATCACATCCTCATTGCTGCGAGTCTCATCACATCCATGATAGACTGCACGATAGGAGACCTGACATGGTCAGACCATGCGCCCGTACGCCTAACCCTACAAGACAAATTTCCCTTCAGGGGAACCTCCCCATGGAAACTGCATGACAATCTTCTGCTTGATGACTCCTTCAAAAATACAATAGAAAAAGAAATCAAACTATACTTCGCAACAAACTACACGCCGCAAACACAACCCCAAAATGTATGGCTCGCCCATAAGGCGGTAATAAGGGGACTCCTTATTAGTCGGGCGGCATACCTGAAAAGGAAGGCACGTGAGGAATACACCACTCTTCTCAAAAAACTCAGAGACCAAACAAAGGCCCATATCCTTTCCCCGTCTACTGTAGGCCAGGATGAAATTTACCGCACCACCAAAGCAATAAACGATATATTATTCCAACAGACATCAGATACACTAACCAAACTCAAAATGACACAATACTCTCAGGGCAACAAAGCGGGAAGAGCACTGGCTTCCCTATTAAGGCAACACCAAACCAGATCGAAAATACCGCATGTATTTAACAATGCAGGCATCAAAATTACAAACCCACAGCAAATAAATGACACCATGGCGGAGTTCTACGACAAACTCTATAATCTAGCACAGGATACTAAGACACATCAACCCACAACTCAAGAAATACAAAACTTCTTAACACAGGCCTGTCTCCCCTCCCTTAGCCCAACCCAACAGGCGATGATCCAACAACCGATCACCGCTGCTGAGATAGAAAAAACTATAGACGCCCTACCACAGGGAAAGGCACCAGGCCCAGACGGCTTCACGAACATTTACTACAAATGTTTCAAATCCACTTTAGCCCCGCAAATAGAGAAAACATTTAACGCCATCATAACGACAAGCTATATGCCGTCAGAAATGCTGATAGCCCACATTGCAACGCTGCCCAAGCCGGGGAAGCCACCTACCAAGCCCCAGAACCTGAG